TTCATGAAATGTTATTTGCCTCTTTCACAGCATTGACATTTGCATTGATGATACAAAAGCATTAATGGGTTAAACTGCTATTGCCTTAGCATGAATCAAAGCAGTGGTACCAAATGTACTAGTAGTCATTGTATCATTCACTGTCATGTACTCACAGTTTAAAAAAAAGGTTTCATTTAAAAATATGCTTGATGCATTAGTAAAAATTAATTTTATTAAATTTCAACTCTTGAATTCACATAACTTTCAATATTCTGTGTGATAAAATTGGAAGTACACACAAAACATTTTTGCTGCTTACCAAAACATATTATGGTGGTTGTCTTGAGGAAAAGCACTTGTGCAGTCATTTGAGTTGTAAGCTAAATTAACTTTTTTTCTTCACTGAATACCATTTTTCCTTTAAAAAATTAGTGGCAAACTGTGGTTATTCAGGCTTTAGTATTTGCCAGATATGTTCTTTAAAATAAATAAAGTGAGTCTGTCACTTTAAGGAAAATAATCTAGCTGCCTTCTATTAAAGCAGTACCAATGATTAAATTTGAGATTTCAAGCAAAAATGGGAATTTTGGAAAACTTACATTCTCCACCATGAGCTTGGCAGTTTTCTAATTCTTAAAGACTTGCCTGATAAGATCAGATTAAAAACCCGATTTTTATTTTTATTTTTTATTTTATTTTTCCCTTTTTGTCTTTTTTTGTGACCGGCAACGGATTGCAACCCTCAGTGTCGCGCCCGTACCGGACCAGGACTGGCAACGGGATCGCAACCCTCGGTGTTGCGTCCGCACCTCGCTCAGCCAGTGAGCAGCCGGTCTGTATGTGGGATTCGAACCCTCGGCAGGAGCGCTGCCGCACTCCCAAGTGGCGCACTGTAGCAGTGCGCCACCGGGCCGGCCCAAAAACCCGATTTTTAAATATGGCATGATGAAATATGTCAGCATTTACAAGATCAGCATAACTCAGTGAATCAATATTCTTTAAATGGCCAGTGCATGATATTATAAAATCATGCATGGATGAAAGATTCATTCAAAGTTCAAAATGGACCAATGGATTTTCATGTAATAGAGTGTGGACATTATTGATATGGTTCAGATTCCACAGTGAAACTAACTTTTTTTTTTTTTTTCTTTTTAAAAAAGATGACCGGTAAGGGGATCTCAACCCTTGGCTTGGTGTTGTCAGCACCACGCTCAGCCAGTGAGCAAACCGGCCATCCCTACATAGGATTCGAACCCGTGGCCTTGTTATCAGCATCGCACTCTACCGAGTGAGCCACAGGCCGGCCTGAAACTAACTTTTAAGAAACTACCACTTGTTGAATTTTGAGGCAGTATTAAAGAAGAGTCTTTCCAACTACATATCTTTGTGAAGGTGGATATACATGAGGCAGTTATGAGAATCTTGCTGACTTCTATTCAGCCAGACACTAAAGAGATTTGCAAAAATGTAAAAGAATACTACTCTTTCAGTTACATTTTTTTTTGCTTTGGAAAAGTTATTTTTCATAAAAATATTGACATGTAATGCATTTATTCTTCAACTAAGGAAATAAAGTTTAAATTTCTAACATTTTATTTCAACTACATAATTACAGATATAACCCAGAAAATCAAAAGCTCTTTGGAGGGCTGGCCTGTGGCTCACTTGTGAGAGAGTGGTGCTGATAACGTCAAGGCCAAGGGTTCGGATCCCTATAAAGGGATGGCCAGTGAGCTCACTTGGGAGAGTGTGGTGCTGACAACACCAAGTCAAGGGTTAAGATCCCCTTACCGGTCATCTATTTTTTTTTTTAAAAAAAAAAAGCTCTTTGGGATATTCAGTAATAATTCAGATATTCAGTAATTTAAAGGGATTCAGAGACCAAAATGGTTGGGATCTGCCTGTTTAAGGCATTAACATTTTTTTTCTTCTTTTTTTTTGGTGGCTGGCCAGTATGTGGATCTGAATCCTTGACCTTGGTGTTCTCAGCATCATGCTCTCCCAGGAAAGCTAACTGTCCAGCACAAGGCATTAACTCTTAAGTGTAACAAGAATCATTGTAATCTGCAGTGATAAGAAAGTGCTTCATGGAAGAGTTGAGAAATGAACTAGCTCTTGAATTAAGGTTAAGAAGAGAATGGTCAAGGAATTTGGCATGTATATAAGACTTCCATTGTCTCTTCTATTTTAAAAGTAAAGCGTATTCATTGTAGAGGGTTTGTATACTATAGAAGAATGCATATTAGAGAAGCAAAATCCGGCTGGCCTGTTAGCTCAGTTAGTTAGAGTGTGGTTCAATCCCTGTACCAGCCAGTCACCAAAAAGAAAAAAAGAGAAGAGAAATCATTTGTATTACAATCATCTGGAGATGACTGCCATTAATTTGTTAAAGTATAGACTGGTTGTTGTGCCAAAAAGCAAGGAAGTTAAAAGGACACAAAAGTCAGCCTGAAGGAGCGAATGATGTTGACTTTGATCCCTTGATGAAGGTGGTGTCTACCAGGCTTTTCCATTGTGAAGTTGCTCTTTCTCTCTTTATAATTAATAAGTATTTTTGGAGGAGTTTACTTTGAAACACTGTTCCTCATCAAACTTTCAACCCATTTATTAAAATAGATTCAGAATTACCTATTTTATTCAGTGGCTTAAAATCTGTCACTATCGTTATTTTGATGCTAGCACTGTCCCACATGGGGCCAGTGAGAGGTCCTTCAAGCTGCCTTCTGCGTTCTTTTAACTTCCTTGCTTATTGGCACAAGAGGTCAGTAGTTTGACTTAACTTACTGATAACCACGTTAGCACTAGATATTGGTAATATTCTAGAGTGCTTTGTTCTTGAATATTGATTATTTGAATATAAGTTATTTCCATAGTTTTTTACCAAAACAATAGCTAACTAACCACATCTAACAAAGGATCATCTAACCTCAAAAGGACACTTTCTTTTGAAAAAACTATAACCTTCATATTTGAGAAATCTGTTTTGTATCATGCATCAACTCTAGTAACCAAAGTAAACCTAAAATCAAATTTGCATTTTTCACATGGGTATCTCTTTCTCTCTGCTAAACTGATGGAACTTTAGAATATTAAAACAGATATATTTGTTTCTGTGTACCTTGTGTTTCTGTTGATTTATGATTAGGTTGTCATAAAAAATATAGTCTAACAATATAAGAAGAAAATTTTAATATTCTCATAAATATGTTCAGGTGGCATTGTATATAAAACATTTTAATGCTGATAAAGATAATACTAATCTTTCCATGGACATTTTGAAGCCCCCTCGTATGTAAGAATTTTAGATACTTTGAGCAGTACCCTGAACATGAATTGCCTCTTTCTATTAAGGAGAAATTGGCTGTTTTTCCAAAGTGTTTGGAAAAGTATTTCTCAAGTATTTTTTTTATGTATATTCCATGAATTTACTAATAGTGAATTTTAGTTTTAGAATATTTCAAAACTTTTGGCTAGCATGTGTAAAGCTAATTGACTCTACCTACTATATAATGTTAGATAATTTTATTTTATTTTATTTTTTCCTTTTTTGTCTCTTTTTTCATGACCGGTAACGGGATCGCAACCCTCAGTGTTGCGCCTGTACTGCGACCAGCAACGGGATCGCAACCCTCGGTGTTGCACCCGCACCACGCTCAACCAGTGAGAGGACTGGTCTCTATATGGGATCCGAACCCTCGGTGGGAGCGCCGCCGCGCTCCCAAGCGCCGCACTCTACCTAGTGCGCCACCGGGCCGGCCCTAATGTTAGATAATTTTTTATCATTCAGTATATTCACATCAAAATCTGTTCTTTTTAAAAATTGCAATATTATTTATTATTTCAGTTAATAGACATTTACCAAGTATCTACTCTTTTACCAGTTACTGTGATAATGGCAATAGTAATAATAATAAAGGCAATAATCCTTTACTTTCACTGAATATTCACAGTAGTATTTCATTGACTCTAATGCCATAGGTTATAAGTTACACAATTTTTATGTACTGTTAAGAAAGAGAAAAGCCTGCTAATTAAACTATTATACATCATCCACTGTAAAATGCACCATAACTTTAGATATGTTAAAAAGTTAAAAGCTGTCATTTTTAAAATTGATGACATATGGCACTTTGAATTTTAATTCATTTAAATATACCAATCCTATGAAATAGGTGCCATCATTACCCTCTTTTTTAAAGATAAGGAAGCTCAACACAGAGAGGTTGGGTAACTTTCCCAAGGTTATACAAGTATTAATAGACTTGAGACCACGTGTCCTTATTCCAGAGTCTCACCCTCAACCACTACAACATACTGCCTTCAGCCAAGGTGATTAAAACACCATCACTTCTTTTAAGCAATTCACGGGAAAGGGAAGAGAAAGAAATAATTTATGCTGTACTTTGATAAATAGCTTAGTAGAGATATGCATAATAGACTGTGGGGATACAGAGGAGAGACTCTCTGAGGAGATGTATGTGCACCAAGTCCTCTTCTGTCTTTCCTCTGACACATAAGCAGATGTTATAGTTTGAAAATTATGTTTAGGTTCTTTTAAACCTCCTGCTTTGCTGTGGCTGCATTTTAATCTTTGATTCCTACTGATGCAGCTAAAAAACAATTCAAAATACCATTACACTTTTTTTTTTTCCTTTTTGTCTTTTTTCGTGCCCGGCAACGGATAGCAACCCTCAGTGTCGCGCCCGTACCGGACCGGGACTGGCCACGGGATCGCAACCCTCGGTGTTGCTCCCGCCCCTCGCTCAGCCAGTGAGCGGCCGGTCTGCATGTGGGATCTGAACCCTCGGCGGGAGCGCCACTGCGCTTCCCAAGCGGCGCACTAAAGCAGTGCGCCACCGCGCTGGCCCGCATTACACTTTTTAAAACGTGTGAAATGTCTACATAATAAATAAAAATCAGGATTCATTAGATGTATCTTGTTAAAATTAATTTTTGGAAAAGTATAATGTTCAAAATGGCTAAATAAATGAAGTTTAAATTTAATGTTTTCACAGGTGCTGGAGAAAATGTGGAGAATACAATGGCAGCCTTTCAACAGTAAGTATGTAAAAGCTGTTCTTCTCTTTTATAGTTTATCTTTAAAGTGATGATGATTCACAAAATGAGGATAATATACATGTAGCATCCACTGTGATATTTGTTCCTATTTTATTAAAATTGCCTTTTTTATTTTGTTAGTATGAAGTGCTACAAAGAATCTTTGGCTTCTATACAAGGGGTCTTCAAAAAGTTCATGGAAAGATTTGTATTATCTTTTAATTCCATTTTTCGATGAACTTTTTGAAGATCCCTTGTATAGGTGAAAAACTAGATCAGAATTTTCAGTAATCTAAAGATATGATAATTCCAAAGCTCAAAGAAGGCATTTGTAACAAGGAACATACTCTGTGTGTATAATGCTAATTAGTCTTGGAGAGAAAGAGAAAATGAAATAACTATTACATCAGCTGCTGCTTATGAATAGGATTATGTGTCTTTGTGCCCAGTAATTTTTGTACAGACCTGAACCTGGTTTTCTTCTTGGAAGCCTCTTGAGGGTTGATCTTATTTTTTTAATAAGGTAAATTTTAAATTTTCTATTATAAATTATTCATATTTCGTATAGATGTCTTTTAGATTACCTCACAGAGAAGCAGCCAGAGAGACAGGAATGAAAGCTGATTAATACCTTGTTCTTTATCTTAGAGTCAGTGATTATCATCAGTCTATGATAATGGAGAGAACACTTTTATTTTCCCTGAAAAATAAAGCAGGGATGTGAAAAATTAAACCATTGAGAGACATTACCTATCCATATTTAGTAAGAAAAATATCTTAAGTAAGTTTTGAGACATTTTTATATATATATAATTGGGACTAAGAAATCAGGAAAATTTGACTTAAAATTTTTGTTTTGCTTCTCACCATTCAAAGACATCTTAGAGATTATTTTTCCCAGTATTAGGTCCAAAGATACTGCTTCGCCGTATTCTAGTTTTATCCAAATTCTATCCTCCTTGTACAACAGTACTTCAAAAAAATTTGTGGAAAAATGGAATTAAAAGATAATATGAATTTTTCCATACACTTTTTTTTTTTTTTTTGCGGCTGGCTAGTAAGGGGATCTGAACTCTTGACCTTGGTGTTGTAACGCTGTGCTCTAACCAATGAGCTAATAACTGGGCAGCCCCTCCTCCATAAACTTTTTAAAAAATTCTTATTTTCTCTTCCACAAACTTTTGAAGACCCCCTCATCTTGTCATCTCTTCTTCCTGTTCTGTAATATGATGCCTTCTTGCTATGATCCTAAAAGTCTCTTAGAAAAATGCATAATTTTTCCTCCTATTATAGACTGTGAAATAGAATATTTTAACTTAAATTACTTTTATGTAAGTTATTTTTTCTACTTAGATTGTAAATCTGGCTAGCTAGCTATGGCTGAGTATAGATGTACAAGTATAATCTTCTGTATAGTTTCTACTGAGATACACAAACACATAAGCACAGACTCATTTATTATTTGTTGTCTATAACTTTTAAAACTTTTTTGGAGGTTCTTCTGGTACTTCAGAAGAGAAAGTGTCCCTTCCATATGTTGTTATTAATGTTGGTTAGATATATTTATTTGTAAGCCTTCTTTTTATCTGACTGAAATTTATTTAAAACCTGAATCAAAACGTCTTTATTTTAACCTCTTTTTGTGAGTTTTTTGTTGTTGGCAGTGGTGGTTTTTATGTGTGTGCATGTGTCTTATGTATTAGTGCTCTTGTTCTCAATGCATACTTTTTTAATGAACTTTTTTTTTCATTTACAAATATTCTACTATTTAACTGCTGGGACACTTAAAAGGTTTGTTTGGTTTGGGGTTTTTTTGTTTGTTTTTTAAACATACCAGCTTCATGAACAACAAGAAAAAATTATTTAAACATACTATTTGCAAGGTACCATATATTAAAAAGCTAAAGAGTTATAATACATAATCATCAAAAACACAGACACTGTTTAAGTATATATATCCTTGATAGGATGGGAAGTCGAGGGAGAGATAGTAAAAATAAAATGTCTAGCTAAAATTTAGATCTTATTTATGTACATATATAGAGATACATTTCACAAATCATATAAATTATAACATGGAGGTAAAGATGAGACAATATTAGAGAAAGTATAAATAGTTGTTATGGGAAGCCTCGTTAAGACTAATCAGAAAACTGAAAGATACTCAGATTAGAAGAGCTATCATTTGAAGAGAGGAAGAAGCTGTTTTAAAAATATGAAATGTTTGAGATTAAGGTGTGAGGGTATGTGGACAAAGTGTGTCTAGGAAATTGCAAGGATCTTAGGAATGTATGGAAAATTAACATAATGGGGCTAAAGAAGTAATTGGACTGATGAAGAGAAATAATGTAACTCACAATTAATAAAAATTCCTTTAATGCAATTTATAAAATGCTTTCACAAACACCGTCTCCCTTAGGTTATGAATATGGCTCTTCTATATTTCCTCAGGAGCAGAAATCTTTTCTTATTGATTTCTCAATCCCTAATGTCTGCCTCAGGCTCGGATACTAATATGCTTTCACTAGTTGCTTACCAAATGAGATATGGAATGGGGCACTCAAGAATATTAGCAAAAGATAGGTGAATGAGATAGAACTCCTTTACAGTAAGCATAGAACCAAGGGCTCATGAATTGTACCACCCCCCCACCCCCCCACACACTCACACTCGCACACACTCTCTCTCACACACTCTCACACACTCACACACACTCTCTCTCTCTCTCTCAGCCCTTGAGTACGTAAAATCTGGTTCTTAAGGACTAATAAAACTAGGTTATTAAACCAGGCCATCTTTGTAAATACCCATAGGACAACACGATCCCTATGGTATATTAGCATGAATGGTAGGAGAAAAGCAAATTGTATTAGCAGTAGCTGGAAGTATAAGTTGGCAGACAATCAAAGTAATTAATCAGTGACCTAGTTCTCATTGTAAGTTTTTCAGAATATCTAATTAATACGATAGTAATTATCTCATCTATGAAATGGGAATGATAATACAACCTCAATGTTGTGAGGAGTAAATAAGATTCAAATCAATTTCTTAATGTAGGCTCTGTTGCATGTTGTTATGAATTGTTTCTGTGGAGTTTCTTTCACATCTTTTAAAGCTAGATTTTTAGTTTTTTCTTCTGGAAATGTTTAAGCCTTGGATTTTCTAGCTTTTCCTTGTGTTTGTTATCAGCTTGTCAGAAGTTCAGCTATATAACATCTTGGTGTTTCAATTGACGTAGGTGCATGTTATTTATAGAAAATTTGGAAGGCCAAAGTGATAAAAAAATTTTTTCTTTTCTCACTATGTTCTAGCTATTTATATATTAAATTTGGGATAATTTACTAGGATAATTTACAAATTGTATACACTTACTGTTGTTCTAAATTCTTATTAGCTTGTTAATAACAGATAAACACACAATAGAAAATATTTTTTATATAATTCCTAAACATTTATAAAAATAGCCAACATTTCAGCTAGAGGCAAACTTCCTACTTAGGAAGTTTTCTTAGGTAGTATGTGTAATTTTTTTACAGGAAAATATAGATAACCCCTGTACTTACTCTCTCTTCACACACTCATACCAGAACAAAACAAAGGGAAAAGAAAATAAGATATGCATATAGCCAAAAAACAGTAGTACCAATTTTTTTTTAGCTATATAAAGGATCTTATAGTTTTATTTTAAAACTGTTTGCTGGTTATGTATATTGCTTACAGTTTCTTTCTTTTTTATCCTTTTTTGTTGTTGCTTAGTTTCTACATTTAAATTAAAAAAAATACACAGTATAACAGCACTGTTAAAGAAATTTAAAAATTCAGAAAAATAATTCTACCAACCTAAAAAGTGTTTTTGTTTGCCTATTTTATTTTGGATTTTAATTTTACACATTTGTGGTTCTAGCAAACACACAATTGGCAAACAAATATTCTCTCTTAAAGGCGAATATCTTCAGAAAAAGACACATTAAGTTAAGGAATTAATTATGTCTTAGTAAGAATCATTAATTATTAAGGAAGCAGGTTTTCTTGTTTGTTTATTTTCCTGTAACAATTAGAAGTAATAGGACATTGAGGGAGTGCAGGTTGCATAAGGAGACATGGGAGAGAGCTGGTATTCCTTTGTAAAGTATTGCAGTATGAAACTTTGGGTAGCACATGGCAGCAAGTGACCCAATCCAAAACTGGGTTTTTGGAATGGGGTGCTAATGGGGGTAGACCATCAGAAGTAGGGGACTAAGCAGTATTTGGCCCCAAAGGAAAATTTTGCCATCTTTATAATGTTAGAATCATTAGATTTGGGATGAACAAGGATCTTAAAAGTCATATAATCCAGCTCCTATCATTGGATGCTTGTGCAACCATTCTTTTCTTTTTTAAAAATTTATTTATTATTATTATTTTTTGCATTCTAAGATGTTGTTATGGAGCAGTTGGGAAGGAGGGGGAGAGGGGAAAGGGGAGGGGATAGGATGGAAAGAGGAGGAAGTGGGGGGCATGGTCAAGGCCCATGGCACCCCCCATCATTCTGGCAGGGATCCCTGGGTGCTTCCAGAGGCAGCTTGGTGGTCATCACCGGGCTGGATGCAGACATTGGGGGCGTGGCTGAGGCCCTCAGCCCCCCATCACCCTGGCTTGAGAGCACAGGACACTTCCAGCAATAGCTTGGTGGTCATTGCTGGGCTGGATGCAGAAGTTGGGGGGCATGACTGAGGCCCTTGGCATCCCCCATCCCCGGCCTAGAATCCTGGGGCACTTCCTGTGACAGCCTGGTGGTCATTGCTGGGCTGGATGTGGACATCGGGGTGATATGGCTGAGGCCCTTGGCCCTTCCCACAACCTCCACCCTGGCTTGGGAGCCTGGGGGGCTTCTGGTCCTTCTAGGTTTTATAGGTGTTCTTTGGTTGTGTTAGACCTTAACTGGTTAATACAGAACTTTGCGTCTGATCTGTGGGTTTTTTGTTTTTTTCTTTCAGTTCTATGTTGGATTATTTGCTATT